GATAGATAATTTAATAAGAAGTTTCGGACACACCCCACTTCGAACGCCACCCTATATGTGTCAGTTTAATCCCATAGAGATGATTTGGGCACAAGTAAAATTTTTCATTAGAAGCCATAATACAAGCGGCGAATTTACTATAAAAAAACTAGATGAAATTTCTAATAAGGCCATCGCTTCAGTAAGTGCCAGTGACTGGCAAAAGGTTATTGGACATGTTATAAAAATTGAAGATGAATATTGGGAAAAAGACAGTCTCATTCAAGAAATACAGGAAGAAATAATAATCAACATAGGAGGTGAAAGTGATAGCAATGACAGTTCCTCAGACAGTGATCATGACTCTAATCAGGATTGAAACTATACTAGATTGGCTACCTTTTAGAATTTTTAGATATTCATTTATTATACTATTGGTTTGTGGCTTTTAGTATCTCAGTAGAAAGTCTAATTCTATGTGTTGTTTATGGGTTATTTCATCAAGAAATTACTTTTTGTTTTCCTATATTTTTCTATTCAGTCAGATATTTTTGACTTGTTGTATTCTATTTTAGAAGAATGCATAATTTGTTTTGCTGTTCAATCATAATGCGTACATAGGAATATTACTTGTTGCCTAAAAAATATATTTATTTTGTTCTCAATATTCAGTGTTTGTGTATATTTATTTCTTATAATGTATGTTTGGTATCACGTCATTATGAATCGCAAAAAAATATTAATACTACCAGTTGTAATAAAATATAAATTCAATTAATAATTCAAGTCTCTCCGATCTCCGCCTATGACTCCATATAAAATCGTCTAATGGTAAGGTTTTTTCATCGCATTTCCCCCTTTCGTCCCTAGCAATCTTTGGCTGGTCGATCAATAGTGAGGAAACGTCCCTAGAAACACTGTAAATTTTTCTGAAAGTAAATAAACATGTCAGACCATTTGTCTCGATCATATTTGAACCACCCTAGTAGTATTTTCTTGGGTATATCGGAGTATCATCCTCCCCCATCATTCGAACAGAAACTTTGATCCCAAGGTACCTAAATTAAGGTATCACCTGCAAAAGCTTTAAGCAGTTAACAATTTCTGCATACCTTCAACTTGGTGCGTCCGCATGATATCACAAACTTTTCTACAATGTAATTAATAATAATAATAATAATAATAATAATAATCCGGCTTTATGTATACAAAGTATAAAAAGGCGAAGTGTCGCTAAAAAGCGTTTTTCAACTTAACCCAAATTCTAAGCAAATTCAATTCTATGCGTCAGGGAGGTCTCCTCAGCTTATTACAAAACAAACACCCATTAGGAAAGTTGTTATCTAATCAAACATGGCAATATTGACGACACACTCACCACAGTAAACCAATCCACATATTTACAACTCGTGGTTGGTTGATAACGTGCTAATTGGCACTTACGTCAAATCGCGTGCTATATGTTTTCACGTTATTGTCATTATTAAATTGTTATTTTGTTTGCCGACTACCAATAGGAGCTCCTTGGAGTTAGACTGTCTCTAACTGTGTTAAGAGAAAATATTCCAGTCAGTGTTTGCTAATTCGTTAAAAATTATAAATTGAAACCATTAGCGGTGGCGCGGTAATTGGTGTGATTAGAGTTCTGGTCAATTCCATTAAAATTTTTCCTTCTTGACGATAATTTGTCGTTTTCTGTTACAGCAACATGTGAGTGATCAGGAGAGTTCTTTTATATGTGTTTGCTTTGAAGAAATAGTTACGTGAGAAAAAAATGGCGCCAAGTAGGTTGACTCTGCACTCCTCACGCAACACTGGCATCAGTTCACAAGTTAAATTCTCTGAGAAAAAAGTTAGTTACGAGCATGAATAACACGAAAGATAAACGGATAAAGTCAGTCAAACAGTCCCTCACAAATAGTCTATAAGCATTCTTTCCCTGTCATACAGGAAATCCATCTGGCAACGTCGCCTCTCTCCTATACCTGACAGCACAACGCGTCAGCCGCGGCAGCAGAGTAAGGCCACAAGACTCAGCGATCCCAGAGCCGACTTTCAAACACCCGGAATAGGGGGGTACTAGTATACTGTTCATTTGCCTAAGGTTTGCATGCCCATTATATTTGTACAGTTAGATCACCTTGTATTGCTCTTGGACAGACTTCTGGAAATGTGTCTATTAGTCACCTCGCCATAAATTTCTCCAACAACAGTAGATTCCAAGATGAATTTATACCACGGAGCGGCACGCTCAGAGAGAAGCAACCTGCAGAAGCCGGGTCGAATATTCAATTGCCGCATACATATTTTATGGAAATTCAAAGATATCGGCCGTTACATCTCTCCGGATATTTTTCTAGTAGCCACAAACAAAAGACGATAATTCACTTTCTGCTACCTACATAAATGGTGTATCGGTTGTATGGCGGTGTCCAAATGTGTAGGACTCTATTCCTTATACCTGCTTTAATCTAGAACATCTCATCTTGTAAAGCTAGATATGTATAGTTTATTAAAGACAGCTTCAGGTGTTTTGTTTTGGTTCCTCGTCGTAAGTGGCCACACATGTTACTACTCCGATATCTTGTCGATTCTCCTTCTTCGACTATATCGAAGAAGTCGCGCAGGAAGAAGTCTAACTACCGGAGCTCCGCGGCTGCTGTGAGAAGTAGACATAAACTCCATTTACTGTCTTTTTCAAATTTTGACGCCAATACATTTTTATGGCTTAATTTTTACAATATATCATCCAAAATGTTATTTAAAAATATAGTTATTTTTTCAGTTTGGTAAATATTTCATATTAATTATATTTCCTAAGCATAAGTAAATCAATTTATCAAGGTAAAAAGCAGTAGATTTCAAACTATAGTGCCTTTATTCTGTATCAGAGAAATACAGTATTTTTACTCTTTATTACATACGGTTTAATTATCCAATTTTTTATGTGATAATTTTATTATTTGTGACTAAGTATTTATCGTTAGAAATACTTTTCTTACTCCGAAAGAATAAGTTTAAAAAATATTCTTCGTTAAACTTAACATATAAGAAAACAGACTGTTTTTAATTTATATACAGGGTGTTTGGAAGGTTGATACAAAGTCTTGGGGAGGTGATAGGGCATACCATTTAGAATCTTTTAAGCCAAAAACACCTTTGTTCAAAGGCTTACGCTTTTGGAGTTATTCGAGATTTTCGATTTTTATTGAAAAAAAATATGGCTTTTGTTCCTGTTATCACTGAAAGAACTCCAGGTTATATGAAATAGTTTTTAAATACCTGACAGTGTGGTTTTTTCTCCGAAAGAAGTGAAAAGAAAAACAAATTGACTGTAAACAAATACTAAATATACTAAGTGACATATAAATCCGAACACCCAGTTTAAATGGTTTTATTTTAATAAAAGTTGGTGAATGTATTTATCTTACTGTAAATAACAAGTGAAAAAATTTTCAGCCTTATCAGTTGGACATTCCGGTTTTTATACTGCTTTTTTTAATTCACTAACACTAATAATTAATTAAATTAATATTTCAGCCGCAGTAAAGAATCAACGTTGGCGGATTTTGGTTCTTGACATCCTTTACGATCGGTTACGATGCCTAGAGTACGGAGACCTGTACGATTTCGTCAACTTAGTGAGTTTGATAGGGGCCGTATAGTGGGACTTCGGGAAGCTGGACTTTCTTTTCGGGCAATTGCAGTTAGAGTGCAAAGAAGTGTAGACACTATGGTTAGGTGTTGTCAGGCATGGCTTCGAGAAGGCTGTACGCAAAGAGCAAGAGGCACTGGACGCCGCCGTAGAACAACAGACCGTGAAGATCGCCGCCTAAGATTATTGGCCTTAAGGGACCGTTTCTCCACTACCAGGTCCATTGCAAATGAATGGTTTGCAGAACACGGAAGACCTATTGGCATGCGAAGTGTTTACCGACGAATGAGAAGCTTTGGCTTGTATTCATACCGGCCACACTGGGTCCTCCCTTTAACTCGAGAACACCGACGTAATCGCCTTGAGTGGTGCAGACAACGGTCACTCTGGGATCAGGAATGGAACAGTATTGTCTTTAGTGACGAGTCTCGATTTTGTTTAGGCATGCACGATGGTCGTGCCAGGGTTAGAAGGCGATGTGGTGAAAGGAGGAATCCACAGTTTTTTGTTGAAAGACATGTTCATCACACTGTTGGAGTTATAGTTTGGGGTGCTATAGCCTATGGTTCCAGGTCACCTTTAATCTTCATCAGAGGTAAGATAAACGCGCAGCGTTATATCCACGAAGTTCTAGAACTCCATCTTTTACCCTATCTTGACACCCTGGCAGATCCAACTTTCCAACAAGATAATGCCCGACCACATGTTGCAAGAGTCACAATAGACTTCTTTCAACATAATGATGTCACATTGTTACCATGGCCACCAAGATCTCCCGACTTATCCCCAATTGAGCACGTGTGGGATATGATGGGTAGGAGATTTCTCAATTTGCAACGTCCTCCTCAGACTCTAGAAGCACTTCGAGGGGAGTTGGTGGTTGCCTGGAATGAGATACCACAGGAGGACATTGACCACCTGATCAGAAGCATGCCTAGGCGTGTTGGAGAATGCGTAGCACATCAGGGTGCATCCACACATTATTAAAGGTCAAAGAGCTTTAAAGCAGTGCAATCATTTTGAAATTTTTATCATTTACTTATTATGCTTCATTAAGTACTTATACAAAATTTTATTAAAATAAAACCATTTAAACTGGGTGTTCGGATTTATTTGTCACTTAGTATACATGTTTTCCTGTTTCTGTGATAGTGATAAGAAGAAACGTGTTTGCGTGCAAGATAAAACTAAATTCCACACATTCTTGCTTTATTCCTTTCCAAACAAGTCAACAGTAATTCATGAATTTCAGTTCAATAACCCTGAATCAATTAGTTTGTGAAATGGCCGCTTTCACTAACGAAGAATACCCAGATATCGCTGACATTTTGGCAGAGCAGATGGTAATGGACTAGAAGCACGACGGATGTACCAAGAGCGATTCCCTGTGAGAAGATTGCCTAATGTCAGAGTGTTTTACAATACGTCGTACCGATGTCTTTACGAGACTGGAAGTGTAACACGTAATGAATCTAGTGTTAATCCAGGTCGATATCCTCCTGAAGCCGAATATCTAATCCTCCAAGCGTTTGAAGAAGATCTCCCCTGGAAAGTTGCTGCTGATCTTGGTTTGACGCCATGGAAGGTTTGGAGTATTTACGCACCGTGAACGAAAATATCCTTTTCAGGGTATCGGCGTACAAGGACTTGAAGATGGTGATCCTATTCGCAGAAGCCAATTTTGTCGTTTCCTCTTACATAGTGACAACAGTTCCTGGAAAGCGTTCTATGGACGGACAAATCCAATTTGTCAAAGGAGGGTATTACAATTTTTCACAATTTTCACAATGGACTGATAAGGAGGAAAATCTACACTGGAAACGCAGGTGTCATTCCAGCACAAATTTTCCGTTAGTCTATGGGCTGCCGTCATGGGACAAGATTAATCGGTCCTCTTCTTTGCCTGAAAGTTTAAACGGCGACAGTTATCTACACTTTTTGCAAAATGATCTTCCCGATTTACTTGTAGGAGTATAAATTCCAGATGACATGCAAATTGTTTTCCAACAGGACGGATGTCCAGCTCATTTCCGTTTAGACGTAAGACAATATTTGGACGACACTTTTCCAAATAGCTGGATAGGCAGAGATGGATCAATTCCGTGGCCCGCTAGATTCCCGGACTTGACACCATTGGATTTCTATGTCTGGGGGCGGGCTAAACAGTTGGTTTACACCGAAGAAATCGTATCAAGAGACCATTTAATAAGAAAAATTCAAGAAGCTTTTTATTTAATGCAGCAAAACACGTTATTAAATACAACAACTACCGAAGTAACACGTAGAGCTCGAGCATGTATTAGAAACATTGGTTCTCACTTTGAACACCAATAAAGCATGTTTCAATAGTTTATTTTGTTCCGTTTACTAATTTATGGTTTAAATTTGAAAACCCGAATATCTCGAACACCGTAAGACTTTGTACTGAGGTATGTTTGGCTTAAGACTCTAAATGGTCTGCCCTATTTCCTCACAAGACTTTGTTGTCCAAATACCCTGTATATAGTCAATTTTGTTGAATATAATTATCAAACGTTGTGCTATTTATGTGAGCATTTGAATATGAACTAAAATAAAATTTTCATTTTGCATTACTGCGTATTTCCCCTGAAAAAATAATATAAACGAATTATGAAAAAGGCAGTAAATCTTGATTTACAGCGTATAATAGCAGTAAAACACATGTTATTGGTTTTTTATTTAAGAGATTTGAAGGATTTACTGCTTTTCACCGGCAGCATAGTTCGATAGATTAGATCGTTAGAACCGCTTAGCTATTTATGTTCACCTTTTAATACCTCTCTTTCAGTATATCATCTGTGCACGTTCCAAATGCTGTCATACTATTCTGTAATACAACTAGCCAACCACGGTTTTTGTAAGCTTTTGGACAGTTAGGCATTTTATAAACCCTGGCTATAAAGAAAAATAAAACAAAACCACGTGTCACAAAATACATTCAGGTGACAATAAACAAATAACCGATGAAAATTCCAGCTGTTGTTGCAGCCGCGTAACGATTTTATTGTTCTGAGAAAAGGACACAAAGACATATTTGCTGCCCTCCATCGAAAGAGTTAAACATCTCCGGCAGAGCTTAGAATGTGGAGAATTCACACAACTGTCCGTTGATTCGTTTGCTTTCACATACTCACCTCTCACCGCATAATTCTCATGCAACGCCAACAATTCCTGTCTCTCTCGCACCTCAGTCAATCGATTGAATTATTGTTCTTTATACTAGGAATGCGAATGTTAAGAGGTATTTCCAAGTGGATATTTTTTTCAATCAATACTACAAAAAAAAACATACTTTTTTTAAAGAATAAGCGCTTCCTTTTACTTCAAACACGGCTGACAGTCTGCAAAACCATAATCCAGTTACATTTCGACTATCATACAACATTTAATTACTTAAACTACTAATATAGCTTTATATGGTATATACAGGTTTGGTTTCAGGTAGGACGGAAAACGAAGGCTGTGCAACTATCTTTTAGAGCAGGCGTTCCCAACCAAGGGGGCGCGTCTCCCAAGGGGGGCATAGAGAGATGTCAAGGGTTTGCATTTTAGAAAGAAGAAACAACATTAACAAATAACGTTACAATGTAATGTTTAATTTACCCGCATAAAATTAGAAATTAGATATCATATTCACTTATTCTATCAACGGCTGTTTCAAAACCCGGCGTCAATCGCAGTTTATACAAGCTTCGACAAGTCACAACATGACTTTCGAAGAATTTGACGTTTCGATGTACATGTTTTGTTGGGAAATCTGTTTGAGTGAGTCAAATTATTGTGTGGTACTGTTACAAGGTTAGTTTGTGTATAACTTCAGTTACCATTTTTATTTAATTTACTAAATTGTTGATTGAGTGGAGACGCGTTCATAGATCGGCTATTGGAACTTTTTACCACATCACAATCAAACCAACGTGGCGAAACGACGAGCTTTAAGTACCTAATATTGATTCCAAATGTATTTAAAATTACTATTATAACGTCAACCTGCCTACAAAAATATAAATCTCCCGGTGGCCAATATACTGTTGAATACATTACGTTATTCAGATAAAATAATGGGCATATAATTAGTAATTACATGTACGAGTAGATATTTTGCTAATTTATTTATTACTTATCAGTTATATTGTTTGCAAAATAGCAGCAGCGAAAAAAAGACAGTTTTCCGAGGATTACGTTAAGTTTGGATTTACCTTCAAAGAAAAAGACGAGTTACAATTGCCTCAGAGTGTGATATGATGAAAGTTTTAAGTAATGATAGCATGAGGCACAATCGCCTTGAAAGGCATTTGAAGCAACAACATCCTACTCTGGTTTTGAAGACGAAAGGTTTTTTTTTCTAAAGCAGAATCACTCAAGCGGATGAGACTGGATAAATTGAGAAGTTCTCACACAGGTGTATCGCAGCATCTCAAAGCTTCATTTGAAATAGCTTTTATGATAGCAAAGCAAAAGAAACCTCCTACTATCGGTAAATAATTAATAAAACCATGTGTCATATAAGCCACGCAGATAATTTTAGGAGAAGAGGCAGAGCAAACAATGAAGTCTATTTCTCTTTCGAATAACACAGTCAAGCCTAGAATCGATGGCATTGCAGCAGACATAAAGTCACAAATAATTAACAAAGTAAAATTATCGCCATTTTTTGCCGTTAGTTGCGATGAATCCACCGACATCGTTATTTGTGTACAGTTAATAGTTTATGTTCGCTGTGTTATCGAACCAATTTGTAGCTGACAAGGAATTTTTATTTAGTCAAAGTATGTAGCTGCCTGGTTTGATTGCACGTTGATGCATTGTGTGTTAGTACCGAGATAGAAACAGAAATATAGAAATAGAAATAGAAAGGATTTATTTAGCTTTAAGCTACTTCAAACAATAATAAATATTATTTACAAAAATATGTTAAATTTACAAAGAGGTCGTCACATCAAACCAAAGTAGTCTCTCCGAAGTCTCTTTTTGAAAATGTTAGCATTACTAGATGTTCTTACATTAATAGGCAGATTGTTTTACATTTTTAGACCTTCAACAAAAATTGACTTTTCTAAACCTTTAAATCTAAATATTTGTATATGGAACTTTTCTTTTGATCTAATGTCGTAACCTTGCATTTCACATCTTTTTTTTTAGAAACTGTTCAAGATAAGGTGGCGCCTGATTATTGATAATTTTATATAAAAGAATTAAATTTGCCTCTTGAATAATTTGGTGTATGTTTAAAAAATTTAATCTCTTTAGCATATCCTGTCTATGGGAACACCTGCTACAATTTAACAAAATCCGCATACATTTATTGAATAGAATTTGCAACCTTTGCTTTTGCTCATTTGTGCATAGCACGATTCGTATTGCTTAGTAAAGTACAACTCGGTGACCTTTGAGAACTCACACACCATGTATTCATTGATGTTCATAACTGGGATATCCCAGGTTTGTGTCCAAATGCAAAGTATCCTGTACCCCTTTTCATGTCTTCAGACAGTAGGGGAGCGCAGGGTAATGGGAGCCTACTAAGGGAAAACTTTCATAAAAACCACATTTATTAACTTTTTTATAATTTTTAATTAGGAACTCTTAGAATAATCATACAGGTATGTTTTAATCACTGTTAGGACTTATTGCAGTCATATATTAAGGTACAATACCGATTCTACAAAAAAAGGCAATCGCTTCCATTACCCGACACGTGCGGGTAATGAGAGCCCATTTCACGCTCATATGGGAAATGGGAGTCGTACTATTTAGTATTGCGCAAAAGTTAAACTAAATATACTTTCAATGACTGTGATCTTAGTTAGCTACTACGATCTATTCATTGTAACACAAATAAAAAAATACTTTTTAAACAAAAACAAGAAAAATAAAGATGAAATTATTAAAGAAAAACATATGACCCAGATTTTACGGATGCAAACAAAATGTACAAATATAAGAAGCTGGACTATCACTTCCAGAGCATTCGTCATGAGCCCAGTTTTCGCAACTTCTGCATCGATACCACATCTCTCCACTTTTTCCCGTGTCTAAGCAAATTGCACATAAAGTTTCCTCTTCTGAGTATTCTGACTCGTCGTCGCAAATTGTACATTCGTCAATTTGATCATCAGATGAATCTTCATCATCACTATTAAACAATTTTTTTTTTGCCTTTTTGGCCCCTTTCTTTCTGGTTGTGGTCTTCTTGCTTTTAACCTCTCTATCTTTGGTAAGTTTCCGTTTGTTACATTTACCTTCGGTGCAATTTTCTTTATTACAGTCTTTTTATTTTTTTTAGTATTATTCTCTTTTTCAGTCCTTTTCCTCTTCTTTTCTTCAAATATTGCCTTCATTGGAGTGCTTGTTATAATTTCAGAATGTTGTTTGTTCTTCAATCTCGTTTCTTCATGAGTTGTTGTGGCAGTGGCCTCACAATTTTTAGAATATCAACAAAGTCAGTTACTGTTTCATCGTCATTAGTATCGGTCTCATTAAAATATGATTTTGACGGAGTTGCGGTAGATCTGACGATATGTTCCTCCCGAATAGCAGCTCGTGTTGGTGTTGCACATAATATGGTTGGAATTGGAGCTGGGCTTACAGCAGCTTCCTCCTGAAGTACTTCTGGTTGAAATTCTGCGTCACAAAGAATAGATGGACTCATAGCAGGGCTAGCAGTCGATGGTTTATTAACTGTCTGCTTTGACGTAGATGGAATAGGAGATATGTTAGTTGGCTGCTGTCCTGCGTCATGCACGAGCACAGATAATACGTATGTAAAATGGTGTGAAAATATATTTTAAAAGCTGGTAGGGTAGTGGGAGCTATGTCGGGTTATGAGAGCCATTCTAGGCTCCCTTTTCCCGCTGACCACCATTTTGAAAAGTAATAATATAAATAATGTAATTCTAATTCCAATCGTAATTAAACAAATTGCACTAGTAAGTGAATGAATCTACGGATGATATGAATATAAACAAAATAAAATAATAATCAAGCTTCATGCTTACCTTGTCGCTGGCAATCCACAATTTTTTATAAGGACGCGAAAAACAAACAACCGACCCTCGTGACTGAACTCATTGCACTAACGGCTCGTACCGGTCAGGCGAAGTTTCTCGAATGTTGGCGGAAGCAGCCGAATGTTTACCAATCACGTAAGTTGCCTACATTCCGTTCAATCACCATAGCTCCCATTTCCCGACCGCTCCCATTACCCCACGCTCCCCTACGTCGTTTAGTACATTCAACTCCTCAGGAGTAGATGTTGACGTATGTTTCTTTCAGGTAGTAGTCTTTGGAGGATTGTATCGCCAGTATAAGCGGCATCAGTCTGAATGCAAAGTACCATGTACAACTTTTAGCTGTAGCTCATAAAATATTCTGCAATTTATGATAGGTACTACTTCATTCTCATGTCTGCAGACTGTACCCCATTTACATACATTTGACTCCTCAAAAGCAGATACTACGATACTCCCATAAGATTTGAGTTCTTCCCATTAATAAAGGTGTTAAACATTTCAGCAGTGGAAGCCGCAGGCAGTACCATGTTACACTGAAACGTATCCAACTAATTTGTAGATGGTAATATTTGTTATATAGACTAAGTATGTAGCTGGCTGGACTGACCACTTAGTGGCGCATAGTGAAGTAGTACCTAGAGGTCTCAGATTATCGGTACGACTGTGCAGGCCACGAAACGTTGTATTCCTCAGTGCCAACTATCCTCTACTATAAGATTTGGCTATCCATTGAAGGATTGGTTAACATATTCTACATAAAGATAGCCAACGTACTGCTATATTCGCGCATTCAAAAAGTTATATGAGATTTCATCTCGGATAATTTTTCGAGCGCGCGAATACAGTATTAGGTTGGGTATTCTCAGGTAGAACAAGTTAGTCAATGATTGAAGGAACTACTTCTACTCATGTCTTCAGAGTACCCCGATTAGTACACTGAACTTTCCAAGAATAGGTGTTGACCTGCGATGTTCCCTTCAAAAAAGTAAGCTCCTCCCAACAATTAAGTAGGTACCTAAACATCCGAGAAACGGAAACAGTAGATTATAAGGATTGGTCTTATTTAGGCCACGTATGTAATGGCACATAGTGAACTCACTTGGTCAGTGTGCTTAGTAAGGTGCAACTATGTAGACCTTATACATTTGACAACTCACGTAGTATGTCTTACTGCAAACTATCTTGCAACCCTTGGTTGATCATGGCTTCAAGCAGTACCAGTGCATTTGATTCCTTGGGAGCAGCGGGTACCTACGATACTTCCACCTAAGTCGAGTTCTTCCAAACAATAGAGTACTTAGACATCCGAGCAATGGAAGCAGCAAGTAGTACCCTGTGATGTTGAATAGTATCAAAGTAATTTTCAGATGATGACAATTGTTATTTAAACCTCATATGTGGCAGTCTGGACTGACCGCATGGCACATAGTTTATTGGTATCGAGAGGTCTCAGGTGGTACTGCACTGCTTAATAGGGTACAACTATGTGAATGTCAAAAGGACTCACGTAGTTCATAATGCTCCACGGTTAGCTCATGTTAGAAACGGTAATCTAGTAGTCATGACTTCAGGCAGCACCGCAATCAACTCCTCAGGAGCAGATGATGACCTACGATACTTACATCAGAGTTGCGTTCTTCCCAACAATAAAGTACTTAGACATCCGATCATTGAAAGCAGCAAGTAGTACCCGGTTACGTTGAATCGTATCGAAGTAATTTGTAGATGATAAGAAGAGTTGCTATTTAGACCACCTATGTGGCTGAACACATAATGGCACATAGTTTATTGGTACTAAGAAGCCTCAGGTGGTCGATACTGCTAACTAAGGGCGTCGAAATTTTGAGAACTCACGTCCTGATTCTTGGTTAACCCTTGTCAGATGATGTAATCTAGAGGTCATGACTCCACGCAGCACCGCATTCGACTCCTCAGGAGCAGATGGTGACCTACGATACCTTCATCAGTGTTGAGTTCTTCCCAACAATAAAGTACTTAGACTTCCGAGCAATGGAAGCAGCAAGTAGTACCCTGTTACATTGAATCGTATCGAAGTAATTTGTAGATGATAAGGAGAGTTGTTATTTAGACCACGTATGTAGCTGGCTGGCCTGACCGCTTAATGGCGCATTGTGTGTTAGTATCGAGCGAGCGCGGTGAGGTACGACTTTGGGCGCGGTGGTGCCCGCCTCTCTTCGTTACGGCGCGGCTGACTGACACCGCCACCTCTTAGTGTCTTGTTAGTAGCTGGCTGGTGCGCTCAGACCACTTTACATTGAATGAAGATATCGGAATAATAAGCTAAGTGGACTGCTCGCTGGATGTTTATCGTCGGCACCGAGCTTTTTTACCTATTTGGTAAGCGCTCTCTGGCTACTTCAGGCCTTCTGCTGCTACTGCGTCGGTAACTAGAACGCTGCTTTATGATACTATTGGCATTCTATGAGAACAGGAAATTGTCTACCAAACGTACTTGAGCTTTGCTGGGAATAGGATTTATATTTGTTCCATTACAGACAAGATTGATTTTTTACTCTGATGATGCCCTTTTTCTTCCTGAATGTCTGTCAAAAGAACACTCCGGATAAAACGTCCACTCAGAATAGCAACTAGATGAAGTACACTTAAATAGGCATGAATAAGTGAAAAGTTCGACAAAACATGAAAAATGGTCGATCCAAACAGTTTTGGGTATGTTGAAGTACATTGTCTACTGCTCGCAATACTTTGCTCACAAATTTAGGTAGCCTTCAAGTGACAAGGCGAAAGTTTCACAACAAAAATTAATTAATTAGAAAGTAAACGAACTCCTATAGTATGTAATTCAATGGTGAACCTTCTCTGTGAATTTGAGTGAACTGGTACTCATCTTGCGTTGAATGGTGAAACTCAAAAGGTAAACGGCATCTTGTGCTATATTTTACGTGTATACAGGGCGTCCTCATAGTTGGAGCTTTTCCTTACACGGCATATAGATCTTAAAAAATAATAACGTATACACCGAAGTCTTAGGATTATCGATTATTGAACACGTACGATGCAGATCAGTACTCAATTCAGGCGACTTTTACACAGCGGTTCTGAAAAAATGGCACACTCTTAGAGTAATATCGGAGTTGTCCTTATTATTTTAATTTACCGAAATGCTACCGAGGCTTCGCGAGTGCATGCAGATCGTTTTTCGTCACTTCTTTTTTCTTTTTTTGTTTGGGGTTAAATGAAATGTTTAATGTATAAATCCGAGGCGAGCACGGTTGACGAACAAAAGCCTACACCGATGCTTGGTTATGTCGAGCACAAACATGTGACTTCGAATCTATGGCAGACAAATTTAAACAATACTTAAAGTGACAGAGCTGTACTTGAAATTTCTTTTCAATCAACTTGTATGTACTTCTCCATTTGTTTTATTTTTTTACTTTTTCGCTGTTGTTTCACCACACATTAGCTTTGTTATTATAAACGTAGTTGTTTATAAGAAGGAAACTCCCAACTTTCATTTAGCATGAACATTCTCTTTCAATTTCAGTGAACAGGTACTTATGTTGCGCTCAGTGGTGAACCTCGAAAGGGTAAACATGGTCTAGTGCAATATTTTACATTGTCAGTATCTACTCATTTTACTCGATCTTTTTTGTGTGGCTCTGTTTCATGTCAATTGGAAATGAAGTTTCATCTATTGGTAATACCACTTTTATATGAACAATGGACAATAGCCGAAAAAAAGAATAGACCAACAGATAGATTAAAACAGATGTGTCACAGTTTTAATGAAAATTCTGCCTCCATCTATAGTTCAGTCGAGAAACGGAAAAGACCTGAATTTGGAGAAAGTTAATATTCAGAACTTTTGTTATAATGCAAGTTACCTTAAACGTATCTACGTAAAAAATCCGGATTTTTGGTGTTAAAGGCATCATCTCTGGCATCTCACTCTCACTTTCTTTAAGCTTAATAATAATACAGCTCTTCAAGTAGCTCGAGTACAAACTTGCAAATATAAACCATTTTAGAAATAAGACATATTTGATGATTGATACAATATCTATTTCTGTTTCAACGCTGCTGAACAGAACCAGTTTTGTTTAATAAAGCAGAAATAATAGTAAGGCTTAGATACCTCATGCATCACGAAACATTGTTTTGAAAGATGGAATTTTCATTTTTGGAAACAACTAAGATTCAAGAGGAATATTACAGAAATCCGATTTGAAATTACGTGTTTTATATGCAAATAGACGTGGTGTTATATTCTTTGTTAGCTCTGTTTGAATCAGGTCACTAGAAGGCATTCGCAAGTATTGCAAAAGAACTGTATCGGATTCACTTGTGAAAAATAATACTATGTTAGCCATGCTTAGAACACGCCTATGGATGAAGCGCCAGTATTTGACTAATTTTCATTATTTGGTCTTCCTCCACAAACTGCTCACAACTGGTATGCCCAAGTATCTGTGAAATCCACAACAAAACCTTTAGATATACATTGAATATTAGGATACCCCATCTTTTGTTTGTTTAATTTTTGTTAATAATACATCTGAAAGTTACTTTATGGGTACCTTGGCTGAATGTTTGTAGGCATTTAAATGGATAGCTGGATGTTTGATAAAATTGGTTTGAACACTGATATGTCAGATTGGAATAGAAAACTTTTTTGATTGTATCTCTTCGACCATCTTGATTTCGTACGAATATGCTTAAGTGTAAGAATGGCTTTAGCTTCGCCATAATGAATCGCACTTAAGTAGTATTAACTACACTTGAAGTAACGAAACTAATGTG